TGATCAGGGTGTCTCTCACTGGGAGACTTACTCCAGTGCCTCTTGACAACAGTTGGGCTGTTGACAGCGTCACTGGGTCCCACGTGTTTTGAGGACGTCAAGTGCGTTTTGCTTTGAGGGAGTTCAAAGCTCAAAGGACACAGCTCTCACTTGAGTATCACTGACTGTGTCACATCTGATGGTTGGTTTTTTAAGTGGTTTATTTTTACATTTTTTGCTGTAAATGTGCTTTTTTTGGAGAGTGATTTTCCTCATCACTCAAACCCCTGTGATTCTTACATGATGACCTGCAGGTGATTTCTTCATTGTGGCCACTCCATCACCAGACTGAGTCATGTTAAGGAACTTGCTGAGGGCAGCAGGAGTGATATTCCTGATTCCCAGTCGACTGAATAAGTTGCATCTTTTTTCTTTTTTTTAATAGCAGCACTTTTCTGATCCCTGTGTCTGTTTACCCTCCAGGTTTCATTATGCTCACCCAGCCCTGCTCTCTGTGGCCCATCTGTCAGACCCTGCTTGCTCTCAGCATATGCTTGGACTTGGACTGAATCAAAGCGCCAACAGACAATATGATGGCAACATCAGCTCCTGTTTGGAAGACTCTTCGTGTCTGCCCGGCAGACCCCCTCGCTCTCTCTCACCCACAGGCTAACCACAGCCAATCACAGGGGTGCAGGGGGGAGGTGTCAGAGGAGAGTCAGCACTTAATTGGTGAGTTGCAGCGAGTACGCTTTTTTATATTTTTCCCCATTTCAGGTGGGCTCGGCACTGCAGCACATTCGTCCTTCTTGAACAGTAAGTAAAAAACTAGCTACGCCTAATATGTTGAAATGCTGCAACTATATTTTGAAAGAATCTTGCTTTGCATTTACTGTTGTCGATCAGATTATGCCTTTGGAGAACTGCTACGTGCTATGTTGGATGACTGATATTTTTCTAACATTTGCATGAACGTTGTTTTTTGGCTGTAACGTTTGCCTCCACCAAACAGCATGTAACGACTGCAATTTTTTTCTCTCCTCAATAGGTGATGGTCTCACTGACTGGATGACGGAAGAAGTGGATTTCTCCTCGTACCTCCCAAACCCTCCTTCCCCTCCCTCCTCCACCAATGCCTCCCTTCCCCCTTCACCCCTTCAGAATGATATCCAGGTGCCCTCTGACTTGGAGGTCATGACCTCTCTGCTGCAAGAGGAACTTGCCCAACTAGAGGACTACTTCCTGTCTGAACCACTGCCAGAGAAAGGGCCGAGGCTGGGAAAATGCGACAGGGGTCCACTGCCGGCGGGTCCTCAGCCGTTCAGTCAGCTGCCATATGCATCATACTCGACATCCAACCAATCGGAATCCAGCCCACTCCTTGTTACCCTGGCAACCGGAGAACTGGACCTGCTGAGTATCTGTGGTGGGCCCATTGGGCGATCCAAAATTCCAAGACACGCCCCGTACAGCTGCAGTCGCCCCAGTGGGTGTGTTAGGAAAAGAGTTCCTGATGGTGTGAGGTTCAGTGAAGGCTATGACAACAGTTTGTTGAGTTCCAAAGGAAGTAACTCAGGTAACTCGGCAGTGACCCTCGCAGGTAACTATGGCTGTGTTGAGGACGAGCAGCTGGTAGGGAAAAACTACTGTCTGGGTAGTGCAGTCGAGGTCAGAAGATGTGCCGTTCTACCAAAAGACGAGAAAAATTGCTGTTTCAGTCAAGATGTGATAGGTGGTGCGAAGGTTGTTGGTGGTGGATTTGGTTTCGGCGGATCACTTGATGTTCCGCACAAGAAAGAGGATCTGCTGATGTATAGCATGAGGGAGGTGAGCGGAGGCACCGGCAACAACGAGGTGCTGAATAGTATCAAAACTAGTGTGGAGGTGACAAAAGCCACCGTTTCTTGGAAAACAGAGAGCAGCGAAGGTTGTTATCTTCCAGCAACACCGCAGTCTGAGGCCTATCATAGCTTCTTAGGCAGCATCAACGAACAGGTGAAATCAGAGGGTCTACAGATAGCGCAACATGATTTACACTGTAACTTTCTGGAGGATCAGGGCCCAGAGTGTCTTTTAATGGCGAGGGAGAGTCTGAACTTGGAGTCTGCAGGGCACAGACAAGCATGCAGGTTGAAGGAAGACCACTGTGCTTTGAAATACGAAGAGGACCTCATTCCAGCCGAAGGCGGCGAACGCAAACAGAAGAAGAGAGATCAGAACAAAACTGCCGCTCACAGGTAAATATTAGTTTCTGCTTAATGAAATAAAACTTTCAACATGATTTCACATGTAAAGATCTGCTTATAATCTTTGTTTTGGTGACTGCAGGTATCGCCAGCGAAAAAGGGCGGAGCTAGATTCTTTGGAGGAACAGTTGCACTGCCTTGAAGGGAGAAACCGGGAGCTGCGGGACAAGGCAGAGTCGGTAGAACGTGAAATCCAGTATGTCAAAGACCTGCTGATTGAAGTTTACAAGGCCCGCAGCCAAAGGCTCAAGCAGGACACAACAGCGTAACACCAACTCCTGCAAGTACATTTAAAGAGGGCGTAACAGGGAAAAATTCGGTGTCTTTAAAGATTGTCCAGAATTGAATGTTTAATTTATTTTTTTTTTTTTTCATGGCGGGCGGGGTAAATGCATGCTTTGCTAATGTGAATTATTTTTTACTGTTTAAATCAACACTCTATCCAATGCTTCCATTGCTTCCGCACTCTAATCACTTGAGCCTGCACTGTGGCATTGCAATGCTTTAAATGACAATCATTTTTAATAGATCTCGCACTGCGCAGATCTACTAATTGAAATATGGTTATTTCTGATGAAGTAATGTTATTATTTATGCAGGTTTGACATTTTTAACAGCCTTACATTGGAATTGATGTCAGCAATAGAACTTCATGTTGCTGTTTTTTCTAGTTTAAACTTTTATTTCCAATCACTGCATCACCCTTCTAACAGTTGAAGTTGTCCAATATGTTTTTGGTGTCTACATGTGAAACTGCATCTTTTCATTTTGAGCACATCGTTCAAACCAAATACTTGTCTCAAATAATTTCTCACCTCCCTTGAACAGCAAATGTGATTTCAATTGCTATGAATATTTTAAAATATTAGAATTGCGCTTGACGATGTGTTGACTTTCACGATTGCGGAAAGAGCGGCCGGTGCACAGAAGAGCAAAAAAGTTTTCGTCTTCAACCTTTGCAAAATATTTTTATCAGTTTAATATTGTTAGGTTTTTTTTGGAGAAGCATTTAATTGATTGCAGGTTTAATGCAATCCAAAATTTTCATTAGTTAAAGGGACTTGGATGTTTTAGGCATGTAATTCCTTTTTCTTTTACAGAAAGTCTACATCTACATGTTATCCTGCTTTGTTAGAAACATCACTGTGTCTGTTGTATTTACATTTGTTTCTCCCCTGATATTTGCATTATATTTAATGTAACAAATCATCTTCCAGCAGTGAATAATGTCCAAATTATAAATTCCGTGACCGAAATAGCTTCTCATTTTTACTGTTTTAAAGATGGAAACTGACATTTTATCATGTTTGTGGCAGTTTCTAAAATTTTCTTCTATTGCATATTGCAAATTATACAATCTGTTTTGCAGCTCAGGATATGCAATTAGTCCTCCAGTCCTACAAATGTAGATGATTCATGGCTGGAGGCTTCTTTTCTTCATTTCAAGATTTCACTGCTATTGACATGCAGGTTTTCCTGATGTGAGGGAAAAAAAAAAAAAAAAAAAAAAAAAGGTTTTCATTATGTACAAATATTATACCTAGTGGAGTTTTAGCAGCCTCCCTCTGCATGTTTTTCCATAAATGAAGTAGAAAATGTAGGATTTGAGAAATAAGTCGGGGTTCTTCCTCTAAAGTGCTTGTTAAGGCAATAAGTTTTCTAGGCCTCTGGCTGATCTGCACTAATTTGTAACAACTTTTGTATGTTCAGGGAGCAGAGTGTGTTAGCCTTTTCTTTGTAGAAAATTAACTGAAAAAAAAATCTCATTAGGTTATTTGTTGAGGCTTTTGCAGTGCTAGCTTTGGTGTAAGAGGATGCTGTGTAAATTATTTTCCAATCCGATTTGTTGCTGAGCAAATACTACCACTACTGTTACTGTTAAATATGCCTATACCGAGGATAGATTTTTTTCTATGCATATTTATTTTGAGACAATCTCGGATATGAGCGCTGAGTCATTGACTCATATTTATTTGTGTTCATGGAGTTTTTTTTAGAGAGAAATTCATGTCACACTGTTTGACCCTGCTGCGGTGTACTATCAACTCCGATTGTTAAAACCAAAAATATGTGACAGCACATTTTAACGCTTTTTAAATTTAATTTAATCGTATATTTCCTTTGTGTGACGTCAGCTGTTTTTTTCTTTCAAAAAAATAAAGTGTGTCATCAACTCAGTCCGCTGTGTTTTGTCGGGTTTTTTCTCCAGGTTGGGGGATTCACTGGGAATTATTTTCACTGTCATATTAATCAGAAATCAGCTGTTTAAGCTTGGAAACAAGTTGCGTGTCATTGAATGCAATACATTTCTTTTTTAAAGCAAAGTTGAGCCCTGCAGGGCCCGATGGACGCGGACGCCGCTGCTTTTTGATCCGAGCCCGCGGCCCATTCACAGGCTGCACTTCACACACACTGAGAGGAATTAACGCTTTTAATATTGTCATTATTGGGCAGATCTTGCAAAGTCGATATCACGCTGCAAAATTAGCAATTTTAAAAGAGATGAACAAATAATTTAACGTCAAATAACCCTCTGGAAATTGATTGAAGCTTTCAAAAATGCTGCTCGCGGTGGCCCGACTGTCCAATAAATCAAGCCGATTTTAATTAAATATCCCAAAATTTCAATTTTTGAAGCAAAGGGCGTTAAAATCCGTGCATCAGAGTTATTTCAGGTCAGAAAACAGGACTCCTAAATATCAATAACGTGCGCTACAGCTGAACACAACTAACCTGCGCTGCTGTCATAGCATGGAAACACTTCTAATGCAGAAGTTTATTACACCACATATTCGTCATTCCTCTTTATTATTGTGGAGAGCAAAGAATAAAAATAATCTCTTCTAATACAAAAGAAAATCTGCCGTCAATATCTTTGAGCCACAAAGTTATTTCTCAATGAAATTTGAACAACCTGTCATTAAATGAAACATCAGATAACAGTAACAAGTTTATTATAACACAGCCACAGTTTCAGTTAACCCAACAAAGATCTCCATTTAAAAAGGCAACTTTTAATTTGCACCGTTTTGATTCTATGTATTAAGTTCACTTTTATATAAAAAAAACTTACAAAATTAATACAAGGGATTGCTGTCTGTAGTCCTCTACCACACTGCTTAACACTGGAGGAAGACGTAAAGAAAAGAGGGAGAAGAGGTATTTACACATGGTGTTTAAACCTGTTATTCCCAGTGAAGTGGACTCACTCACAGCTGTCCGATGAGCTGGTGATAGTCACACTGTGGAGGTGCGTGTTGTGATGCCTGGAGAAGTTTCTTACTGGCATCAAGGGACCTCAGGACCTACAAATCAATGCAGAAGTAAGTGACCAACTTTAAAATGTGTGTGTTTAAAGTGCTGACACATGCACAGATGTATGACTGAGGAAAATATCTGATAAACCCTTCAACGACTGTGCAGTGAACTATGACCAGTAACGCCTTTATATAAAGGAATGAATAAGCTCAAGGCAATATTACAAATAAAGGAAAGCCTTAAAGGCATTAAAGGGAAACACTGAATTGTTTTCTTCCATAAAGAAACTCTTGTAATTACATTTAAAAACAGTGTTCCTCTATTTGAATTCTGAAAACTGACAGACTTTTTGTAATGTCAATCAATCAATCAATCAATCAATTTTATTTATAAAGCCCACATCAAAGTCGACATCTGCTGTCCTGTAACCTCCTCATTTATTACCTGACGTATTGCGTCCTGCTCGCTGTACAGGCACAGGGTTGCTATGGCAGCTTGTCTCACTGCATTATGGGAATCCGTGCATGCCGCTCTCAGAAGTAAGCTGGACACGTCCTCTTCCAACAACAAGGATAAAGCTCCATCAACCTTTACCAGGTTTCCCAGGGCTGCGCAACAGTGACGACGTGTGAGGGCATCAGGGTCAGTGATCAGAGGCGCCAGCATGGCCGCCGTCCTCCTGGCTTCCTCTAACCACCTGCGCCCCTCCTCATCGTCCACTCCCTGTTCTACTATAGTAGACAAATCTCCTGCTGCCACATTGTGTGAACACTTGTGTTTATTTTGTTGCTTCCCTTTGCCCCACCCTGACATGTCACTGCCCTTTCCATTGGACCTACCCATTTTAAACCCTGCCCCTGCCGCAATATATCCCAACCAGTTCCCGACTGCCCTGCAAGCCATCCGCCGGACAGGCGTGCAGGAGTCATGGAGACAGTTTATCATGCTTTTGAAAATGTCAGGTTGCAGGGTGTGCAGCGTGGGAGGCCTGAATGGATCCAAATTTCCTAAAAGTCTGCATGTGGCAGCCCTGATCTGGTCATAAGAGTGAGCCAGCGCCTGCTGCAGCACTGAGGCTTTCAGGTGAAGCTGAGAGCGGGCAGGCCAGGGGGAACAACGAGCTACTTGGGACAGCAGAGTTAACAGCTCCACAGCAGAGTCCCACAGCACATCCAGCTGCAGCAAGTCAGAGAGGAGTGAGCTGGCAGTTCTGCTCAGCGGAGTCTGGTGTTTGGAGGCAGTGAGCCTGCTGTCCCCGGCTGGCGCAAAAAAACCACAAGCAGCTTTTCCGAGGCGGGAAACAGAACGCTCGGGGTCACAGAGGAGTAAACGGCTCAGCAGGGAGAGAGGCAGCTCTAACAGCGGAGGAGGAAGAGTTTGAATTACCTGCCAAAGCACAAAAAACAAAATCATCCAGACAACTCGTCACAGATCAAACAGCCGACAACAAACAAGACAAAAGTTCAGAGGCATTAAGATGTACAGTGGTGTGTGGCTGATGAGCGCCTTTTGCAAGAGTTATCCTCTGTTGCATCAGAGAATTATGTTTGTTAGCGAGGTCTTTATCGGAGCACGGGAAGGCCCTCACCTGCAGGAGGCACACAACAATACCACAACTGTCATACAGCTGTAAAATTGCAGACATGGTGTGTGAAGGCAGGTCCAGAGCGAATGGAAAGCACAACAAGTGGCAGCTCAACACGGACAGGCTGTTGTGACTCAGATCCAGCTCATGTGTCCCTGGACTGCCCTCAGCAAACAAATGAAGACTGTGGGGGTATAAAGATGCTATTGTTAGCTCCAGGCGTTGCAGCTGTGCTGCTCTAAGATTGGTGGTACAAATGAAACTGTAAGTTAAGAAATCTTAACACCAACCTGTCAGTGCCCAGCAGCCGGCCAAGGGTGTATACACATTTTGATTCGTGGTCAGAAAACAGAGGAATGCATGAGTATGGGTCCTTCGTGAAGACAAACAGCGCAGTAGACAGAAAGGAATGCAGCCCTGAGAAAATAAGTAAGACCACTGTAAATGTTTTTAATATTAATATAGGGCCTCATGTGACACGTATATTTACCATTTGCCGAACAGAAGTCTGCGTCTGGTGATGTCCTTGTTAGTGAAGTGCCTATTTTTTTCCATAGATCCAAAAACATTGCTGAATCTAAACATGAAGATCCTGAGCCATGTTCAAGCTGTTAAACGAGACAAACAGGCAGAGCTCAGAGGAAGAAATTGCAGGTCTATCTCTGGTATCCACTCAGTCAATGTTTTTTTAATCACATTGTGGTTATGGTCTGACCTCAGAGAGTGTGTGTAGGAGTAAAGACAGGAGGCCATCACAGAGTCCCCAGCCAGGAGGAAGAGAAAGCTGGGGCTGATGAGGAACAGGAGAAAATGGTGGATCACTTTAAACTTGCAGAAAACATACTCATATTTGGGCAAAATTGCTTCTCACAGATTCAGTACCTCATACGAGTCCAAAAGCAGGTTTTTCAGCGCGGACGTTAGATTGTCTGCATCAACTTCGACATAAACACCGTGTTGTGTCAATAGAGACAAAACAGAGGCGGCTAGAGGCTGAAGAAGAGATCACAAAATCAACTGTGTCACACAACTGCCAAATATTGATTTAAAACTAATTTCCAGTCACTCTGTATACCATAAAACTTCAGTTAACAGCCCAGTCCCAATTAAAGGCCCAGTCCCTTTTACTAGCCCAATGTGGCTACACATTTTAACAAATAAAGGCCTGTCTAATTAGAAGCCTGGTCTGGTTGCCAAGCAGTTCATTTTTTTTTAGAAATTTAGATGTATGAAACAGGTTGTTGGCTATCCACTTGAGCTATATATATGTTGAAACTTTGGTCAACATGGAGATGCTTCACATCGTTAGCTATTGTAATTCATTCAGATTTACCACCATGAAGAAAGAACAGGTGGTGACTCTGTACCTCTGAAGCTTTCATAAAGTCAGAAAATGTATCCATTTCTTGATTACCCTGTAAGTTAATCATATTCCCTTAGTTCATAAGGGTCCACCAATCAAAGGAATCAAAATGTTTTTTTGTAAAAATCACTCCAAGTTATGAGTATTGTTTTAACAGGGTAAAGTTGCGTTTTGTCGGTATGCTGGGTGCCGTAATCCTCAGGTGCTGTAAAGCAAATGTCCTATCTCTCTTTCTCTGAAGCCCTGTCTGACAGAGCTAGATCAAATGAATGATTCATAATTGATAGGTTATTCAAACCCTAATTTTTATGCAAGTAATAGTTATACTGGTTAAAGTAAACAATTCAATCATGTTTCCCATTTTTGGTAAGACACAGCTTTGTATAAAAAGGAAAGGCCTGCGTCAAATATAGGCCTACTGAGTTCAGTGATTTAAGCAAATAATAGCCTGGGCTGCTAATAGAAATTTTACGGTACACACATACTAACTGCAGTGAGAACTTACTGCCAAAGGAATGAGGTCTGGTTGATTGAGAATTGTGATGAAGGGTTTGGTGAACTCTTCCAGTCTACTGTGAGAGAACAGATGATGAGCTGCACTGACTGACACTCAATCGTACACAGACATCATTTAACAAATCAACAACATCAGCTTCAGTGAAGAAGAGGAATAATCAAACCTGTGCTCTTCTTCCACAGAGTCAGGGTGTTTCTCCCAGTAGATCATAAGCACAACAATCATTTCTCCAAGTGCTGGGACACTCCATGGCTGCTGAGCAACGGAAAAATATAAAAAGGTCAGGAATACTGTTTCAGGAAGAATGTAATATTAATTATGATTCCTGATTATTAACCTTGATGAAATTTGAGTTTTCTACAGCATCATTGACCAGGTTGAAGAGGACATGGGGTAGTCCGAGTTCCTGACCAATGTGGTACAACTTCTTGAGGTCAGACGTCAGAATAAGGTTGCGTAAGACCTTCAGTGGTAGTTGAATCCGCCATGATTCTTTAACAGCGCCACCTGATGACTGAACGAAGAAATTAAAAACCTAAATACAAAATTGTTTCAAGGAATAATTGGTTTATGCTTTGTTGAATAATGTATTACCTGAGCTTTAAATGCCTGGATCATGGATTTTAGTTTAAGTATAATGGCACTGTGGTTTAATAGTTCTCTCTGCTGTCTGCTTGGATCTGATTCTTGGACCAGTTTCTCCCAATAGTGCTCACTGTCAACATCCTGAAAGAACAAGAAATGATTGATACTCTTGGGCACATTTTCCTGTAAGACAGCAGACAGGTTCTTTATCACCAGAGCACATTTGCGACTGGAAGAGAGTACACAATCTGTATAATGGAACAAGACACAATTTCTAAATGGAGAGTGTCTTTTAATCAGTTGGCACTGACCTGCCTCTGCAGTGCGGTCTGACTGTCCTCATTGCATCTCTGCTCTAGTCGCGGCCCGACCTCTACGGAGGGGAACTCCTGTTCATAGTCCCTGCTGATCTGTCCCCTGCAGAGGAAATGCCCATAACAATGAACACACACCTCGATCTGTTTTGCTAACATATTGCATCTTTATTCTGAGCTTCTATAAACACCTGTGTTTTGATCTCACGCTGCCTTGGTTCTTAGGGTTGGGGCTTTGATTGACAGCTGTCATGATCGAGTGGCCTGAGGTAACAGAGACATCACCGGAGCGAGGCTTGGCTCTCGGGGATGGTGCTACCATTGCAGAGTTGGCCCTTTCATTTCCCACTCCATCCTTCTTTTTCTGTTAAAGCACACAGAGCAGCTGAAAGCTCCTCCGTGGATTTCCATGTGACTGAGTTAAGAATGAAAATTCAATTTGCGACTCACTTTCACACTGTCACTGCTCACTGGTTTCCCTCTGTTCATCTGTTCTATGGCCTTTCGCAACAATCTGCTCCCTCCAGGAGTCGGCGCCGACTTTGCCGCCACTTGCTGAAGTTTCAGTGCCATCATGTCCGGGCTGGGTGAGACTGTCAGAGGGCTGAAAAGGCCTGTGTCTGACAGCACTGGGCCAACACACCGACATTGGAATAAAACAGTTAGAATCAGACATATTAGGGAATAATCTAAAAAATCAGACCAGTGTTGTGCATGTTTGGAAATGTTTATGCATCACCTAAAACACCATCAGCAACAAAGGGATGATGCAGGAGGTCTGGCCATGACAATCGCTTCTGAGGGTCTTTGGTCAGCAAACCTTTCAGGAAACTCTTCAAGGGAAATATGGTAAGTGTTGTGATTAAGGCAATATATTCTGTGTGTCATACATGTCTTATCTCCCCTTTAGCAGTGCAATTTATTTTCTGTAGCTGACAGTGACACATCGCTGACAAAAAAAAGGAAACAAAAAATATACTTGACGACTTTTAAGACACAAGGGGAGAGGAAAACTGCAAACTATTTTAGAAATTTGTTTGTGGGTTCTAGTCATAATTATCCGCACTGGGCTTGGGGTGGTACTTGTCTTGTCTGTCTGAGAATTTGAAGGCTTTATGTCTCCACTGTTCAATCACATCTTAACAGAGACTGTAGCTGTACTGTACCGTGCAGACGTCGCTCATAGTGTCTGGCCATTTGACTTGGTCTTTCACTATAAGCTGCACCAGGTGGAAGATGGAGTTAGTGTAGAACGGAGGCGCCCCCGTGTGGAGCTCATAAAGGATGCAGCCCAGAGACCAGAGATCAGCAGTGTGGTCGTACGGTTTCTCCTCCACCAGCTCAGGGGACATGTACAGTGGTGTTCCCTTGATAGAAGTCAGCACCAAGGTGGAGACGCTCATGGCCCTGGCAAACCTGCAGGAGGATTGCATCACATGTAGTTTATCTTTGTGGACATGAACAACACAGCTGCGTTCTCTTTATAATAACCAACATCTACCTACCCAAAGTCACAGAGCTTCACCACACCACTTTTCCCAAGCAGAATATTTTGTGGTTTCATGTCACGATGAAGGATGCGATGGGAGTGCAAGTAATACAGAGCAGAGACCAGCTGGCAGGCGATCTCACGGACCTCGGAAGAAGAAAAGAATTGAGCACATGTTGATTATGAGAAACCATGATAAATATAATGTCTGGTATAACTCTGTGTGCTGAAGATAAATACCTGGCTTTCTGGTAAGTGCCCATCGTCCTCAAGAATCTGGAACAACTGACCCTCTGCGTACTCAGTTACAACCACAACCTGTTACAAACACATAAGGGACCACGGTCAAGAGATAATGAACTCAGATGTAGATCAAATACAGCATTTTGTGAAGAGGCATTCTGTGCTCCTGGTAGAGGCAAGTCCCAACCAATATTGTCCGCCAGAATTGTCCCTACCAATAATTGAGCAAACTTGTTCGTATTATCCTCATACTAATAAATCTGTACACAAAAATACAGGACAAATCACCTCTCATATTGATTCAGTATGGGACAGTGCTTTTTATTTTTCAATATAGGACAGTCCCGTAATATGCCTGATCAAGACTGTTTTCCGTTAGTTTCAGTACTCCACCTCCAATGAAGAGCTGCACACTGCTGCTTAAATTCTGCCTCATCCAGAGAGAGTACCAAACAGGGCTCTGTGTCTGTCTAACTGCTACCAAAAAACCTACCATTTCAGCAGAGCACTAACGTAATGCATAGCAGACTACAGGGCAGGGAGGTTTGTTTTTTTAAACATAATGAGTGTATTCTCATTAAATTATGAAGAAGAACATATATTTATCAATCCCCAAGGGGAATTCAATATTTTCACTCTGTTGTCATTCACACACAGGCCCGAAATTCACACATGCACAAACAGGACCTATACATGCATTTAATGGAGAGATGTCAGAGCAAGGGGGCTGCCTTGGACAGGCTCTCAGAGGCAGAGCAGGTTGTCCACCAATCTAAAGATCAGCAGTTCGATCCCTGGCTCCTCCAGTCTGCATGTCGAAGTATCCTTGAGCAAGATACTGAACCCCAAATTGCTCTCGATGGCTGTTCCACCGGTGTGTGAGTTTGTTAAAATTGAGTAGCGGTGGCACCTTGTATGGTAGTCTCGGCCACCAGTGTATGAATGAGTGAATGTGACTCATAGTGTAAAAAGCGCTTTGAGTGGTCAGATGACTAGAAAGGTACTATACAAATGCAGGCCCATTTACCATGTTTTGAATGAAAGTTTTAAACATGAGCTGAAGTCTAAAATACATATGATGACTGAGCAAAATACACAAAGGAGGACTAAAGAGTAGATCATGCCAACATGTGTGCTGACTCAGCAGAGATAACTGTAAATGATAAAAGCTGATGTACAGGAGAATAAATAGGCTATTAGATAGATAGATAGATAGATAGATAGATAGATAGATAGATAGATAACACTATTGTCCACTTCGGTGAAAATTTGTCTTTGGCTTCTCTCAAAAAACGTCAAAGGTACATACAGACACATAAAACAATACACCATTAAAAACCTACAGTTTTACAATATCTATATGATACAATAGTGCAAATAGGCAGGTAGGAGCAATAAGTTATATAAATAGCAAAAGAGAGCACATCTTACAAAGTAGTAGTGTGTTCACTGCCTGTATGACATAAGGACTAAAGGACAGCAATGCAGAATGCCTGACACCAGTATTGCATTGTGTTCCATTAAAAATCGTCACCTTAAGCCTGAATTTTGTGTTTTTCCTGACATAAATAAAGTCATTTCCACCACAAATTAGTGCAGAAGACATCACTTAAATGCAGCAAATTCAGTGCATGTATAAATGTCCTCACCAGTGTTGAAATGAAACCTTCGCCCTTGCTTCTGTGTGTTTTAACAGCGATCATATTAAACATACCTCAGTTTCAGTCTCAAAGCTATCAAAGAGTTGGACAATATTTGGATGTTGAAGATCTCTCATGATCTCTATCTCCCTCTTCAGACTCCTCAGCTCCTTCTCAGATCGACCCACCTTTGGCATGAACTTCAGAGCCACCACCTGATGGACACAGACACACAGAGGGTGACACGGTGTGGCTAAACAAACTTACCACACACAACTACACAAAAGACACCTACCTGTCCAGTAAATCTTTTCCTTCCCTTGTATACTCGACCAAACGAACCTTCTCCCACCAGCTCCAAAACGTGATACGAGTTCATGTCGGAAGGAGGCTACCGTTATAACGGACACAAACCGAACATCGTTAAGTTAGATAAGCGGTTGTTTCACTCTTTGTAAGCAAACACAGGATACGTGTATACTTGTAGTCAAATCTTTAAACTTTACAAGTCACTAGTTGTAGCTAGCAGCCTTAAGAAGATGCTAATACGAACTTTAGGCACAGCTTACTGTTGTGTGCTTCTACTTTTTAGATAAGACGACAACAAAAATATTAACGCTCGAGCGCGAGTCTAACTGCCGTTTCACAAAAGTTACAAAAGATAGAGTAAAAGTTTGACTTGTCACACAAATATATTCAGAATTTGTATGATATAACAAAATGTATCTTGTTCTTTGAAACGAGTCGTGTTTTTTTTAAGCAATTCTTTCCATTAATGCGAAAGTCCAAACTGGCATTTCTGTGGACAACACGAAACAAGGGGTCCTTAGCGTAGCAACCACTGTCGCGTGCCTGACAACGGGCTGAGAGCGGACAACAGAACAGGGGCGAGCTGGAGGAGTGACGTCATCTGAGGAGCCAAGGAGGGATTCTGTCATTGTAAAACACAAAGTAATAGCCTATACTTGTTTGTGTGGTGTCAAAAATATGAGCAGTTGTTACTAATTAGTAGAGTAGCCTAGAAACAATACTTGTAATAATTTAGAGAATTTAAGGGACTTGTAGGCCTACTTGAGTATTTCCATTTTATGCTACTTTATACTAATATACTTACACTACTTTGCATCTCAGTGGGAATTATTATACTTTTTACTCCACTGCATTTATTTGCGTGCTTTGGTTACTTTGAAAAGTCAGCTTAAAAATACTAAATATAATCAACTGTACATATTAAGCAATGTCATCTTTCAGTTGAAATGCTCCCTTCAGAAAACTTGCCTGATATCACGACAGCTACTTGCTTATTTGATATTATTTGCATAAAGAAGTTATAAAAACACAGCACATTTTGTTAGTGAAACTGTGCTGTTGCTATACGTTACTTCGTTTCTTTAGATGACACTTTTGTGATCAGTTAGTTGTTACGTTACCCTCTACTAAAGGTTGCCTCGTGTAAGCTATGCATAAACTCCAGCGAGTTTAGTTGACAATGCTGCACTGGTTGGTAAAAGGATGTTTATATCTCGTCACTAGCAAATATTTGTGCTGGTTTTTACAGCTATGCACTCTATTTCAGTAAATGTTTATATCCTGTGCTTCAGTTTACTCCTTAATTACCCACCTAAAGAGCCCATACACAGCTGGTTGACAGTAATAAGTGGTCTTTTTAAACCAGTGTTTTAAACAAATCTTTCAGGACACACTGGTCAAATGGCCTTCTATTAGCCCACAGATCACAAGAGACAGAATGACTGTATTATGTAAGAAAACACAGGGAAGAAGTGTCTATTGTTGTCTATAGCATTTTATTAAAACTACAGTTTATGTCAGTGGGGAAATCAATCAACTAATAAATGGTGATGTATTATATATTATTATACATTAAACCACTCAGTAGTATATACAGTATATGTATAAAGCCTTTCACATTACTGGGGTGCTCTCTCTCTTGCACACACATATGATCACACAAAGTGCACTGCTTAAATGACAGAGAGGACCCAAAACATTCATTTTTAAACAACAATATCTCACTTTTAATGCAGGAACAGAAAGATGAAATATTAAATTGGGGACTTTTTGTTTTCTATTATTAGGCCTATTCTTATTTTTGAAATAATACATATAGCCTATATATCTGGATCCAGGGATACTGACAAAACATTCAGGGCTAAAGCTTCGAACGCTCAGGCCTAACAATGCCACTGGTTATCAACGTATCAGTGTCAATGTAACATTAAAGTTAAACTCATTATGCAGAATGGTCCTATTAAGAATGTTATATCATTATTGTCATCATTAGTAGAAGTAGTAGTCGTAGTAGTGGTAGGCTACTATTTGGCTATTATTACTATTATTAGATGCATTAGATGAGACTTACAGGAAAAAGTCACATATCACAGCAGAAACAGGTCAAAGAGGTAGGGAACAGATTAATAATGCTGCTTAACATGCAGGTTGCATTTTACAGTTGGTAGATAGATATAGTAGTCTTTAACAAATCAATATATTTTGAAAGGCTGATTTAATCTATTAAGTATTCAGTCACCACAGCTAAATGGTCAACATGTCTCTCTGAAATGTAGTGGAGTAAAAATACAAACTTCCATTATCAGTCCTTCAGAAGTGTACCAAAGTACAGTAGCCAACTTAAATAAATATGCATAGGTACTTTCCACCACTGCTCTGCACTTGTGTCATTGTATTACAGGATAAATCTGACAATAATAATCAGACTACTCTTAGTCTTGAAATCGAAAGATCCCAGTTCATTGGTTGTCCACCAGATGTCGCATGCGAGTTACGCAGAGAAACAGATGTGACCGTGACATGAAAGCTGATAAGGAATCACAGCAGCCCAATATTCCTCTGAAGGATTTCAGCTGCTATTTTAAAGAGACTTGTGTCGTGTTCAAAGTATTTTTAAAATCTCTGTAATATATCTGCAGCTCACTGATGTTACATTTAAGATACTATATACATTATTAAAGCATCATTCTTAGTTGTGCATTAAAAGGAGATATTTCTGCTGATGTAGCGCTCTGCTCTTTATGCGAGATGTTAAGTGCTGTTACTGATTACATCTCCGCAATGTTGCCAAAAGTCTCAAGTGAATAATGGACTGATGTAGCTGTGCAGATAATGTGGAGTCAGGCAGGGTCTGAGCGCACAAAGCCCTGGAAGAAGGAGCTCTGATAACTCATCACAGTGTGTGTTGGGACATGATGATAGGCCTGCTGTTTGCTGGGTTTCAAGTGGCCGCAGAAAAAGTCTCGAGCTGAGACGCGCATCCAATGAGCGCCTCCAAAGACTGCCCCCCTCCAAAAGAGAGATTGAGTTTCCATATTTTTTACACATGACGAAAATGCATAAAGTCCACAGAAGGCAGCAGTCGACTCAGCACACACAGGTGGAGAATGGGAATGGGTCATGACCAGGAGGCGTTTGCACTGAGTGGACTCGTACGACCTGCATTGTTTTAGAATCGTGCGCACTGGATTATGCTCTTCATCCTGATCTGTGGCTCTCACCGCTTCCACTGAGCTTGCAGATTCATTATCGTTTTGTTTTCTCTGATGGTCATTGCATTCTTTATTGAATGCAAACATCGTCATGTTTATCAGAACAACTTTTCTCCTCTGCTTTGTGGTCTCGCTCTCAAAACTTGTTCGGTGCATGGAAAGTGAACTCTGCTTCCCTATTAGATTGGATAACCATGACAGGAGGGATTTTGACAACGACGTGGATATCCTTAATGAAAAAAGTGTCCTAAAAATAAGAGCTTTTCAGCAGGAATTAGTGATCGATTTACACCAGGACTCTAATTTCATAGCCCCTTCCATTTCTAACCAAGACGCATTGTGGCTCTCCAACGCCGATGTTACCACTGACCTGAGCCGGTGTTTTTACTCCGGATATGTGAATGCTGACCCACATTCTTACGCTGCTTTGAGCCTCTGTAAGGGTTTACAAGGTGCATTTGGCTTCCACGGCTGGGAATATTTCATCAGCCCGGTGCAAAATGACACCACAAGCGCGGAAGGCGCGCACATCATCCGGCGCAGAACCAGCAACAACCTGAAGCTTAATTCAACCTCTAGGTGCGCAGTGGACAGCGACATAAGTCTCCAGGTTGCGCAATTGTTGGAGAAATACAAGCGACTGCAAGATTACAGCAATGTGACCGAAACGATGCTGAGGAGGATGGGGAGATCCAAAAGGTTCGCTTCAATCCCCCGGTTCGTGGAGACGCTCGTGGTGGCGGACGAGTCCATGGCGAAGTTCCATGGAGATGACCTAAAACACTACCTCTTGACATTGATGTCAGTGGCAGCGAGGCTCTACAGACACCCCAGTATTCTCAACTCCATCAACATCTTAGTTGTGAAGATCGTGATTATATACGAGGAGGACAAAGGACCCAAAGTGTCCGGGAACGCAGCCATGACGCTGCGAAACTTTTGCACTTGGCAAAAAAAGATGAACAAAAACAACGACAAGCATCCAGACTACTGGGACACAGCAATCCTCTTCACTCGACAGGTAAAAATGCTTTATTGGGGTTCACGCTGCAGCCGGGGTAAAGGTAACACAAGAGAATGTGGTATTTTAATATGCGTAATTACGCACAGAAATGCGTAAATCTGATGCTTTTTCTCAGCAAATACTTTTTTTCACCTTCGTATTTTTTTTTCTGAAATAATGAGGTGACAGTAATAACAAAAAAGTTAACAGCGCCTTCTGGATGTAAGGCATGTTTATGTTAGATAAGATCTGAACTTAGTTCAACAATGCTGTAGGCTTTACATGTCAGGCTTCCCCCAAACCACTCCTGCTGTGTCAGATAATTGGTTTGCACTCACAGCACACTCTCCACCTCTGGTGAACTCAGGCAGCAGGCACTCAGCGAGTATCCAACCCACCAATACCATCACAGCTTTGACACTGACGTTGGGTCACTAAGGAAATTATTTGAGCTGAACAGAGCAAAGTCTTGATTGCTCTTCATGGATCCTTAGAGGATAGTTTTATAGACTTGGAACCCACCTCCCAGTTCTCTCTCTGCACTCCCAAATATTTGGCAGATGACTCTGGGTCAGAGATGAAGTCATTGCTCACATTCATTGGTCAGTGTGTAACCCACTGATCTGTGATGAACTGTCTGCCTTGTGGATTCAGACCACTTTGATTTCATTTTTGAAGACTTGGAATAAAGGTGTCAAATACATGTTTAATTACTGAGGATGATTATGATTGGATATTGTTCAGTCTGCAGTTAAACAGTCACCTGCAGATGCAATTACAGTCTCAAAGCCGCCACCACCAGAATTAAAGAGTCAAAGGTCCCTAACACAACACGAGATCACATCAGCCCTCAAACAAACGCTTGTTTTAACTGTAACATTGCCAAATTTAAGTGCCACCAGGGATGCATTAGTAGGAAGTGTCTCGTTTCTCTCAGCCGTTCCCATTCCTCCTCCAGCTGTGGGTTTTCCAGCCCTGCCCACCACCTTGCCTGCTCCTCATTAAAAAAGCCCCTGAAGGGAGTGATGTAGGAGGGGGGAGGTTCCTATGTGCAAGTCG